ATAGATAGATAGATAGATAGATAGATAGATAGATAGATTGATTAGATAGATAGATAGATAGATAGATAGATAGATAGATAGATAGATAGATAGATAGATGATAGATAGATAGGAAGGAAGGAAGGAAGGAAGGAAAAGAAAGAAAAAAAGAAAGAAAAAGGAAAAGCTGAAGAAGCTTCTTGGATGAGAAGCAAAATGTCTCCAAAGAAAAAACAGAAAATCCAGAAAAAAAGAGAGAGAGAGAGAGAGAGAGAAAGGAAAGGAAACTGTGATTCTCCTTCAAATCATCCTTGGGCTGTCTAATTCACTCTCTCTCACCCGAGATCCTCCCTTGCAAGGGAGAAAATGGGAGGAAAATCAAACAGGTGCCCTTAAGTCCTTCGGGTTAAGGAACCGAAGAAAGGAATGTCAGGAATGGGTAAGATCTGAATCTCTAATATTTTGGGTGGGGGGAGACCACGGGGTGGATCCTGCAGGGGGGGGGTAATTTGTCTCCCAACAGCCCCCACCCTTTCCTGCTTAAGGGCAAAATAAAATACCAGAAGCCCCTTTTCTCCTGTGTTTACTTTCCTTGTTTAATCCCCCACCGGGATGCATTTTGGCCAGCCAGACATCCAATCAAGGACTTCCAATGTTCAATCAGCAAACTTTCGTGTGTGTGTGTGTGTGTGTGTGTGTAAACAAGGCTGTGCCCCCTGCCTATCCGAAGCAATACAGCCTCAGCAGATTCCAAACCCGCCTTGCGCTGACCTAGGCTCCCATCTTTCCTAACCAGCTTGGCTGGGAATGATAGGCTCTGCAGTCCAGACCTCCAGAAAGTCCCAAGCTGGAAAAGAGGGGCCCCCAGTACCCCAAGATGGGGAGGAAAAGGGATCCCCGGCCCCAGCAGCTTTGGGGAATCTTCTTTGCACATATGCAGATATTTGGGGGGGCAGATTCCTCCCTTACCTGGTTTCCCTTTGGGGTTTTATCTCTCCTTGCTTCTCCCCAGGAGGAACGGACTTTCCGAACGGCCAGCTGGCTGCTTTTGAGGGCTTTTAGGGAGCTCCGCCGGCCGGCCTCCCCCCCCCTTAGTTCCCTCCTCTCTCTCTCTCTCTGTCTTGGTCTCTCCTCCCAAAATTTTTAAAGGAAATGAGAGACTGCCAAAAACTACATTGCAAGGGAAGGAACAGGCTGGTGTTTGAGCAGCACAGCCGGGACGCTAGGCAGGGGTGGGGATGTGTGGATAGGACATCCCATCCGGATGTCCCTGGGATAGGTCAGGAGGAGAAGAGAAAGGAGGAAGGGTTTTTTTTCCCCCCAAGGATATGGAAAAAGTCATGGACAAAGGGAAAACCTCCATAAAAATCTGTGTTTCTCAACACTTTAAGACCCGGGGACTTCAATTCCCAGAATTCCCCAGCCCTGGTGTACTGTTCTGCTGCTAAATAGCTCAATGGCTCATCACCCTGATCAAAATGTGATTGTTGTAAGCATCACATTTCTAGTTTTCTTCTGAGTTGGAAAAGAGCTTTCGGTATTTCTCAACTCGGCAACTTTTAAGATGCCTGGACATCAACTCCCAGAATTCCCCAGCCAGCCTATGGCTGCAGCATCTTGGGGAATCACGTGATCACCATTTGTGACCTTCCCAGCCAACTTCTGACAAACCAAGTCAATGGGTGAAGGCAGATTTGCTTACCAACTGGAAGGTTCAGTGAACAATTGCAGAGGTTCACTGAACAACCTCGAGAAAAAGATTGTAAAATCAAACGTGACTCGCTCAGCAACACAGCCATGGAAATTCTTGCGATTTTAACTCAAGGACTACTTTAAGTGAATAACTCACTTTGTCCTGTTTGTGGTGGGCTGTTACCCCTGGAGAGATGCCACAAAAGGCTGGCATTACCTAAAATTGTGCCTCTTGTTTGGAAAACACAGTGGCAAAGTTTCCTAACCCACGCAGTGCCCTAAACCAACCACCTCAAAGTTTTGTGTTTTGCCCCGGTCATAGAGCATGCTACAATCACAGCAGGATTTTCACCACAAGCTCAGCCACAAACAGTGCAACCCTGTTATGTCGTAGCCAGACAGCTGAATGTGTGCCAGGGTTTATACAGAACGGTGTCTGCATGTCTGGGCATCAGCTGTGGGGACACAACCACCGAGCATGGGAAGAGGGCCTTTTGCTTATAGAGTGAACATAAGAAATTTCTCGACGTGCATTGAAAATCAACGGGAAAGGATTCCTGGCTGTAAGTTCAAGCAGGGTGGGGTCCCAGCGTAGACACACAGATTTCTGTCTACAAGCAGGGAGTCAACCGAAGAACACTGAACAGCTTCCCGCAGAACGGAAGCACAGAAATGAAGCCTCGGAAACTTCTGAATGTAGATTGTGTAAAGAAGATTTTTTTGTTCATGTGTACATGCATGACGCTGAGCTTGTTGATCAGAAAGGTCAGCAGTTCGGTGGTTCGAATCCCTAGCGTCGTGTCACGGAGTGAGCTCTCATTACTTGTCCCAGCTTCTGCCAACCTAGCAGTTTGAAAGCACGTAAAAGTGCAAGTAGAAAAATAGGGGCCACTTTGGTTGGAAGGTAACAGCGTTCCGTGCGCCTTCGGCATTTAGTCATGCCGGCTACATGACCACGGAGACATCTTCGGACAGAGCTGGCTCTTCGACTTTGTAACGGAAATGAGCACCACCCGCTAGAGTCAGGAACGACTAGCACGTATGTGCAAGGGGAACCTTTACCTTTATGTGCATACATACCTGCTTTATAAGATGCTCCTGCGGCACAGCTGCCCTTATTTTTCCATACTCCCCCTTCTGACTGCCAATAATCAATATCTGATGTTCAGCCGTGGAGGAGCTGAAAGGGTGGAATTGACAGGAAATGTTGCAGAAGGCAAAAGACCCTGTCAGCCCTCCCCCTTCCTGTTCCCAGGGGGTTTTCTCCCCCACCCTCCGAGCAATTGGAAGTTCGCGAACCCTGAATCTGTCCAGGCTTCATAGTTTGGTTAGCGCATAATGTGTGCTTGGATGCTGCTCCCATCCTTTCTCAGTACACCTGGAAGTCATTCATTTGTCTTTGCCTGAATGTCGTCTGGAGTTTTCCTCCCCTTAATCCATGAAATAAAATCCATGCCCCCTTGCCTGCTGACACATAGGACACTCTGTGTCCTGTGTGTACCACTATACACCATGCATGCGTGTTCCACTATTGGCAGCCGGGAGCAGTTGGTTGCAATTTTTTTATAGGCTGCATGTGGCAATCAGGAGAACTTCTGGGTGTTTTCCCAGCTGTGATAGCCACATCTGGATGAGGTCACCCCCTAACCATTGCAGACGCTGCTCTTTGCCAGCTGTCTCCATGAAACTCCTCCCTGCTGTGGAGTGTGTGTCTGCATGTGTTTCCCAGATGAGTGTGTCCTTCTACTGAGGTCAGAGGAGACACACCAGACGGGGTAAGGCAGTTCAAGCAGGAACCCATCCACCCATTGACCAGGAAGGAGACAGATGTCCTGCTTTCCTGATCCCTCCCTTGACACGAAAAAAAAAATAATGCAAAAGGGAGAAAATGTGGTTCCTTTGGGCTCGATTCTCCAGAGGCAGTGCAGATCTGGCTTTCTGTAAAAGAAAATGTGGAAACGTTTTTGATTTGACGTTGAGACTTTGGAAAAAGTGCAAAGAAGAGCAACTAGGATGATCAAAGGCCTAGAGACTAAAACATATGAAGAATGGTTGCAGGAACTCTCTCTCTGTGTCTCTGTTTCTCTGTCTCTGTCTCTCTGTCTCCGTCTCTCTCTCTCTCTCTCTCTCTGTTTCTCTGTCTCTGTCCCTCTGTCTCCGTCTCTCTCTCTCTCTCTCTCTTTCTGTCTCTGTCTCTATCTCTGTTTCTTTCTTTCTTTTCCCCCCGCCTTTTGCAGGAGCAGATGGTGAATTGTTTCCGTGTTTACTCAAGAAGCTATGAACAGTTTTCAAAAAACTATATGACTAATTGGTGGACTCTTTATTAAAAACTGGTTTTTAAAGGGTTCCGCTAAGGATTGATTTCATGATGCCAGAAGATGATGCAGCTCCTGTGATGTTATAATTATTATTTTATTATTCTTATTATTTTTAAATGGGTTTATAAAGCTTAATCGATGTGGAAGCCTCGTCAGAGGGAGGCTGTGGCTGCTCCGGACTAATCTTGGAAAGTGCTAAGCATGGTCAAACTCAGCCCGTCGTTGGACATCATGCTTCGAGCAAGGCTGGGAAGACGAAAAACCCTTCTAGAAGATTCTTGGTTTTGCCAACAAAACATCACAGATGTGCCTGCAGAATCAGCAGGAGTTGAGACCGAGAGTGACTTTCTAATTGTACAACCCTCACTTAGTGGAAAAAGCTGGCTCATGAAGTGTTGGGTTCTCCATGGTCGCAGATCTTCAGAAGTTGGATGGTTATCTGTCATAGGTGACTTAGTGGAAGTTAGGTTAGATGCCTTTTGAGATCCCTTCCAATGTCATGATCTAGGATTCTAGGACTTGATCCTTGATCTGTTTGCAATCTATAATTTGATAGAGACAGAAGTGGAGTCCAGAAGGAGAGTCAATGAATGGGTCTTTAGGGACGATTACTCCCTGGAGATATGTTCGACCGCAACTGGTAACAGCTTGCTGCAAGATCAACAGATCAAAGGATCTTCTGGACTGGGACTTCTCCTGGCTGCCTCCAACTGGTCCTCCCTCCTTCCTTCTGATCCAGGCACTGGGTGGGTGGGGGCCCTCAAGGCAAGAAGCACTCCAGAGGGTTGGTGGAGTCAGGCAGGATGCTACAGTTCAAGGGCCAGAGGATGTCCAAGCGGGCCAAGGGCTTTCGGCAATGCTCTTCCGCCCCCAGACACACGGAGCGACAGGGCTGCAAGGTGCCCCCTTCTGGGATGCACTTGGGGACAAAGAGGCTGCAGATCAGCAAACGCAGGTAAGGGTAGCATCTGAGGTCCCGCAGCACCTGAAAAAGAGGGGGCTGGGCTCAGTCAGGGGCTGGGAATTTAGAAATTCCTTTGTTGCAGGTCTGAGTTTTACCCATGTTGCCAACTGGACTGCCCTCTTGAGGGACAATACTACCGCACAATTCACTGGCTGGCCCCTCCCTGCCCACTCATTCCTTACCTGGCATGCATGCCATCCAATTGACTGCCTTGTGCCTTTGCCTAATTTTTGGTAAGTAGCTGTTTTTCCTCCCCCCCCATCCAGCTGTTCTGACTATCAGCTGTGACTTTAGCTTAGGTAGAAAGCAGGAAATTGTTGGATTTCTTTCTAGCTAATCTAAAGGCAGAGCTGAACCTTCCTTAGGACTGAAGCTTCTATTTTTCAGTGCAGATTCAGGTAGCAGATTGCAGAATGGTAGATCTCTGAATGAATCTGTGATTCTGTGAGCTCCTCAATCTGCCTGCCTGCTTTGCCTGATTTTGGGTAAAAGTTGCTCTTTTTTAATAAAAAAATTCAATATTTACATAAGTATTTACAAATATTTACATACAAGCGATGCCCACCCAGTCACGTGGCCACCAAGCCACACCCACAAATTAGGCCATGCCCAGAGAACTGGTTGCTAAGAAATTTGAATCCCACCCCTGGTTGAAGCATCCTGGGATCACATGATCACCACTTGTGACCTACCCAGCTGCCTTCTGACAAGCAAATTCAATGGGGGAACCAGATTCGCTTAATGACCATATGATTTAACAATTGTAATGATTCGCTTCCATGGCAAAAAAAAAAAAAGGTTGTAAAATTGGACGTGACTCACTAACAACCGCCCTGGCTTAGCAAAACATTCCTGACTGTGGTCGCAAATCAAGGACCATCTTTAAAGCTGCTGTGTAGAAGTCATTCTCATCCACATATTGTTAGCAAAACATGGAAATCCCGCCCAGTTCTTGGTATCTAATTATGCAGTGGGAAATTAACCCTGAACCATCCCTGTGTTGATAGTTTGAAAGTTTGAGATTTGCTCTCCATGCAACACCCACTCTGGAGATGGCGAGTCTCTTCCCACGGACTAACCCCCCCTTTCTCCCACCTCTCTATCCTCCTGCCAGCCTCACCATGTAGTCTTGAAGCAGCTCCTTGGCACTCTGCTGATGGGGGATCATCAGCCAGATGTTGGGGAAGGAGGTGGAATTGTAGCTGAGACCTTGGCACATTTCTATCTTGATGGGCTCACAGGAGGCCTCTGCTAATGGGGGGAGAGAAGAGAACATCTCAGAGACTAACCAGAATACAATTGTAAAGAGTTGAGTTGTCCTCTGCTTTCGTGGGGAAGAGGACTACCTGCATTGAAAACAAAAAAATGTGAAAAATGGAGCCAGGTTGTCCTCCAGAGTTCACACGTCTGGTTTCCTGTTGGTGCATCAGGTTGGTTTTTAGGTTTTGCTCAACGTCATTGGACCAGCCAATGAAAAAAGGAGGATGGTGGATGGGAGAGAGACTGTAGTTGACCCTCCAAGGAAGTTGGCTTGAGATCAGAGGTGAGGCCTGAACTGTGGATGGTGTGATCCATAGTTCTGCAAACACCAATGAAGGCAGCTTGGTCCATGTAAATTACTCACCCACTGAGTACATTACTCACCCACTGAGGTGGAAGAAATGCTGGTACAGTTGACTTCATCACTTCCATCTGGACAGTTTCTCCAGCTGTCACACACAAACTCCTGGGCCACACACTCGCCATTTCCGCAGACAAATTCTAGAGGTCCACATGTTTCTTGCATGGGATGATGGGCGGGGAAAAGAGAGAAGAATTTAGAGAAAATAATTCCTTGGACTTTCAAGATCAGTGTTTCTCAACCTTCAAAGCTTGAAGATGGATGGACTTCAACTCCCAGAAAAGTCCACCCATCTTTAAGGTGTTAAAGTTGAGGAACACTTCTTAAGTTGGTCAAGATGTCTACTTAGAGTTGAAGTCCACCCATCTTCAAGCCACCAAGGTTGAGAAATACTGCTTAAGATGGAGAAAATGTCTACTTGGAGTTGGAGTCCACCCATCTCCATGCTGCCAAAGTTGAGGAGCATTGCTTAAAATAGTGAAGAAGATGTCTACCACCCATGGCCTTTCTCTTTGAAGCCAGAGATTCCCAGAAGAAATCCAGATTATTCTCGTGCCTTGCTTGAAAATAATCGCCTCAATTCTTCAGTTGAAAATAAAAAATCAGAGCATCTGGAAAAATGCACTGCAAATAGCTCAGGCACAAAGCTCGGTCTTAGCACAACCTGTTGACCCCAGCATGGCCAGAAAACCTTTGACAAGTGTTTGTCTTCCACTTAGATTCATCGATTTGAAGGCAGGGATTCATTGACACCAGATTGCCATCTCCTCAATCTCAGCTGAGCTCCTGCAGAAGCTGGCTGCTTGAAGCAGTGATTTATTAACTGTTTAACCAGTAAGTGAAGCGGTCATGCGTGAAAGTTAATGTTTGTATCTTTCAAAGTTGGATTCCAGGCAACAGTTTACAGAAGGATGAGCATTTTGTCTGATTAGATCACCTGCCCACGTGGCCTGCACCTTTAACACACTTGCTATGACTTTCTAGATTAACACAGTGGAAGACACAGGATGTCCATTTACACAATGTTTAAAAAAAAAGGAACAGAAGGAAGTGCAACACGTCTTCAAGAGAATACCAGAGAAGACACCAGTTTAGGTCATTTCCTTGTTAATGATTTCTATTATTTTATTGTGTTGTGCAGCTACACAATTTATAATGAAGGCTTTGTATCACTGCAGGGGTGAAGGTGGGGTGAAGGCAGAAGAGGTAACACAATCAGTTCAAAAAGCCTGCTGAGAATTGAAGATAACTTTTCGTGCTTTTGCAATTAGCCAATGCCTGTATCAAAAATTTGCACCATTATTTTTCCAACATCAAATCCCTCCATCCCTCCCTCCCTCCCTCCACCCACTGACCCATCCATCCATCCATCCATCCATCCATCCATCCTTCCATCCTTCCATCCTTCCATCCTTCCATCCATCCATCCATCCATCCATCCATCCATCCATCCTTCCTTCCTTCCTTCCATCCATCCATCCATCCACCCATCCTTCCATCCTTCCATCCATCCATCCATCCATCCATCCATCCATCCATCCATCCATCCTTCCATCCATCCATCCATCCATTCACAGCATTACTCCTTAACCTTGGCCCCTTTTAAGAGGTGTGGATTCAAACTCCAAGAACCTCCTCCGCTAGCAAGGCTGGGAATTTCAGTCCACACATCTTAAAAAGTTGCCAGAATTGAGAAATGCTGATCTGTCGGTCTTTCTATCCAATTATGAAATTGTAAACACAATCCTTCTGCTTATATAAACACAACCCCACACATCTTGTGGATGGGGAGGACTTCTCAAAAGGTCTTTTTAGTTTGCCTGGGAAAATGGAACCATAATTACAGGAATCAAGAAACCAAAACTGTGTTCCATCTCAGAAAGAACAGAGCTTATAAACAAGCGACCACAACGCTTCTCATGAGACTTGGATCAAGTTCAGCCTTTCTCTACTTGGCTGGGACACCTGAATAATTTATAGAGAAGGAGGAGGCAGAGGAGGAAGGAGGAGAGGGGAGGAGGAGAGGGGAGGGGGAAGGAGGAGGAGGAGCTTTGGTGCTTTCTGAACTTGGTTGTTTTCTTGCAGATGTTTCCACTGGGGGACATCATCAGTGTACCGATACTGTTCCCTAGTTTGGTCATTAAATGTCTGCAAGAAAACAACCGAGCTCAGAGAGCACCAAGGACCCCACATGAAATCAATATTCCCACCAACACTGACAGCGTAACCTATGATATATAAACAGAAGACAACCCCGCTTTCTAGCACTAGATGAAGTTACCTAGTTGGATAATGAAACCTCTTCAACAAAACCACCAAGTTCAGAGAACACCAAGCACTCCACCATTCTACCTTGAACTACAAATATTCTTTCTGCATTTTCCTTTTGTTTCCTTTTGATTTATTTCCCAGGGCAGCTACCCATCCAATCATTAACCCTGCTTAGCTTCCCATTCCAGGTCAGGTCTGCCCCACTTTTGGGGGGCAAGAGGTGAGCAGATGACTAGCTGCATCATTTAGCCTCAACAGAGCCACCATTACCTACTTTCACTCAGGTTTTGGGCACGGTAGATAGCAATGAACCCATTATCCGCAATCTCTTCGTCAGCCACGAACAGGATGGTCATGATGTGCTGGGATGAAGTCAACACAGGAGGCTTATTGGAGTTGCAGAATCTGCAGAGAGTAGAAAAATCAAACTCAACTCTGGAAATGTGGGATGGTTACTTTAGGGGTCAATGCAGCCAAGAACCTGGAGCCAAAGTGAGCGTGCCCATATGGATTTTTCCATAAGGAGCACAGGAGTGTGTGTTGATCACATCACAAATGAGACCATTCAACAACATTTTGGTGTGGCACCAATTATAGAGAAGATGGGAAAAGGCCAGCTCTGCTGGTATGGACACGTCCAGAGAGCAGCACCTTCAACCATGGCCAAGACTGCCTACCAACTAGAAGTCAATGGCTGATGACCTTGCGGGCACTCAAAACAGAGGTGGCAAGACACCATCAACAAAGATATGCAAGCAGTGGGCCTGCGTCCCAAAGACGCAGCTGACCATGCAAACTGGTGTTCAATGATCCAAAAGATGGACCCTGCACCTGCAGGATTACACTAGGAAGAAGAAGAAGAAAGAAGAAAGAAGAAAGAAGAAAGAAGAAAGAAGAAAGAAGAAAGAAGAAAGAAGAAGAAGAAGAAGAAGAAGAAGAAGAAGAAGAAGAAGAAGAA